CAAGTTGGTTGTCATTAGTGTGATTTCCTGTTACACTTCACTGTTTTGTCCAAATTCAAGATGTGTTCGTAAAGAAAATTCAGCAGATTTTTTTAGCTGAAATAGAAAACTTCATAGCATGATTGAGGAAAGGCTTTGATTTTTGTCAAAACTCTGCAAGACTAGAAAACATTACACGTTTAGTGAGAAAAAAAAAAAAATGAAGAACAGCCTGTGTCCTTATTTTAAAATGAGCATGCCTTTACATTTAAATTTCTCTGACTTGGCAGACTGAGAATCACTTCCAATCCCCAAAAGTGCAGTGCACTGCATAAGGAACAGAGGGGAACCTCATAAGTCATGAAACACTTTATTTATTTTTATTAGAGGCAACCACATGGAATAATTATTTTTACAAACTCATCAAGCTCCATGTGAAAATGTCTTCTGCTGTTCTTACTTACAACTAAAAGAAACTTTTGTTGTTTACAAACTCTTCTAAAAATTTCCTTCAATAAATTTATGCCCCTTAAACTGGGCTCCCTTCTTCATCATTGCACACCATACTTTCAAACAATCATTCTCTATCAGATTTAGCTTTCCTAGTCTCATCTGATCTATAGGCTTACAATTCTCTTCACCATTTTTGCTTCCTCTTCATACCCGCTCTTTTGAATTTTTCTTCAAATAAATGATCAGAATTGTACAGTAATACAGGTAAAAATTCCTCCACGCTGGTATAACAGTGTTAATATTTCACAGAAATGCTTTTCTTTATTCGTATCAGGATAACGTTCTTCTTTCTCACAGCTGTATCAGGTGTTAGCTCAATCATTCTAAGATCTGAATCACTCATTCCCAAACGATGATTTCCCAACTTGTAGTAAAAACACCTGTACCCACCAGGGTTCAGAGTCACAGATATTTACATTTCTGATTTTACTGCCAACTACGAAGAACTAGATCACTTAAATACCTCTGCTGATCTGGCCTTAAATACACGCATCTACTCACAAATTTCAATCCACTCTTGGAAAATTGCATGCCGAGTCACAGAATGGCTGCAGGACTTCTGGAGGTCATCTGGTCCAAACCCCTGCTCAAGCAGGGCCACCCAGAGCTGGTTGCCCAGGACCACATCCAGATGGCTTTTGAATATCTCCAAAGAAGGAGACTCTACCACTTCTCCGGGCAACCATTTCCAACCTGTCTCCTACGTTACCAGAAAGCCCCTGCAAGATATTACCTATATTTATAAAGAAAAGCATACATTTGAGAGCAGTAAAAAAAGCAGCGGTAGTTTCATGTTTCCATTCTCTAAATTAAGCTATAGGTTTACTCTGCTGCTTCACAGACGGAACTGTAACGTTAACGGACAGTTAGCACCAGCCCTTGGCCATTGCCTTTCCTCACACAAGAGGGTAACACCGCTGTTATCAATACCACTGCCCATATTACAGTCAGCAACACCCACAGAGTTTCTAGCACTGTGTAACTCTGTAAAACAAGCAAAGATTTGTCTGGATTTGAATATATAATGGAAGAAGCATTCATCTGTCTTCACCATACCAGGTAAAAATTGCCGTTTGGCACAAGTGGTCCTTATACGTGGTATTTTAGATGCACAGTAAAGATCTTTAACAAAATAAATTTTACAGTTCAAGATACTGCTAAAGTTTTCAATGTAACTAAGTAGTATTTGCAATATATCCGCAAGTGGTTGATATTGTCTATTTTAAGAACAAAGAGCATAGTAACTACCAGCCTGAGAAAAGGTAAGGCATTTCATACTAGATTAACATTAGACATTTACATAAAATTGAAGATTAATTTAAGGATTCTCAGTATCATAAAATATCTGATTAAGGACATTACTATTTCTGTCAGACTACTCAAAGAATTATCAAAAGTACAGACAAGATAACTGCCTAATAAACCTTATATATACACACATACAGAAAACATTTTCATGTCCCAATTATCCAGTGAGGACACGAATCTTTTGTTTCTGCAATTTTGTGAGATACTATTTTTTTTACTTTTGCAATACTTGCAAGAGAACCTGGGAGTAGGGAATGCAACTTTCAGCAGATGGGAGGTAGCATTAAGCCTCCAAACACATTGACAATTTTCAAAAGAAGTTACTACTATACAATATAATGTGCGCTTCCTTCCCTCCCTTTAAACATTCTTTCAGTTAGACAAGAGTTTTTTTAATTAATTTTTTACAAGAAAATAAGTGGCACAAAATAACTCTTTAAACTGATGAACATTGGCCAAATTATAACTGACCTCATGGTATTAAGAAGTTACTCAGGCACGAAAAAGTGCCTTCAGGATCCTCTTTAGCGCAGCCTGTGCTAGAACTGAAGCGCTCAGAAGAACCTGGAGCAAACCAGCACCCCGAGTTTCACTCTCTGACCCAAAACCCTGGATGCATCCATTACCAGCCATCGTTCTGCAGACAGTAGGGGAACGTAAAGCAATGAACAAATTCAGGACATGCAAACCTCTCCGGAACCGAGTGCCAACTTGCAATTCCCAAGCTTATACTCCAAGCTTATGTTGCCGCTTATGCTTTTCCAGAAGTTTTTTGGTAGGCAGCGTCACATTACACATTCCACACTTGTACTTTTTTGTGTGTGTTCTTATGTGCTTTTGGAAAGCACGTTTATCTAACGTCGAAAATTTACACCTTCTGCAGTGCAACTTTAAATGAGTCAGTAAGTGGCGCTTCAGGTGGCTAGATGTGCGGAAAGCAACAGCGCACTGACTGCACTTGAACGGCTTCTCCCCTGTATGAATTCTCAAGTGTGGCTTCAAGTTTCCATTGTGGGCTGTGGAATAGCCACACTCTTCACACGTGTATGTTTTGACAGGTAGCTGCTTTTGTTCGTAGAGACAGCCAGTAGATGAGCTTTCCTCACAAGAGTGTGAAGCCAGATGCTGTTTCAAGGACAGCCATTTGCTGGTTGAATAGTCACAGTTCCTGCACTTGAGATGCTCCATATTAAAATGCGTGACCCTGTGTCTTTTCAGGTGACTGGAAGTACGAAACTTCTTCTGACAAACACCGCAGCTGTAAGGTTTCTCACCTGTGTGAGTTCTTACATGTAGTTCAAGGTTGCTTAAAACATAAGTAGTGTAGTCGCACTCTGCACACCGATAGAATCGTGGCTGACTTTCTGCTACCAAATCATTTTCTTTGCCCCTCTGGACATCTGGCTGTACTCCACAGACTTCCGAACCAAGCACGGAATGGATGCTGTCTGAATCTTCCAAGGAACGAAAATCTCTTTCTGGACACATGCCTACATGCATTTCATGATGCAATTCAAGATTCTCTAAAGGGCTATCTGCATAGAGGCAATGGCCAAACTCATATCCATTCTTCACATGAACAAGGCTGTGTTTCTGCAAATGGTTTGATGTTTTAAATGTCTTATTGCATTCTTTACACACAAATGGTCTTTCATCTGTATGTATTTTTAGATGCAGCTTAAAGTCACTATGAACAGCGGTAACATAATTGCAGTGTTGGCACTTGTACATTTTGAAGGTAGACAAATTGGAAGGCCAGGTATTCTTTAAGTTTTCCACAAATTTATGATATGCATCATCATCTTCAACTTGTGAATGAGAGGCCTCAGAGTTGAAGAGACGCTCCTCTTTGCAAATGACAGTGTCCATTTTGTATGAATTCAGAGAAACTTCTGATCTATTCCCAATAATAGGTAAGTTGTTGCTTCCACTGCTGTTTTCAGGGAATTTCTTTCCAGAGCATGTTTTCTTATTGTCCTGCACATCACCTGCATGCTCAAAGTCTACTTCTAAAGCCAGCATTCCCCCACTGAGACAATCAGTTTCTTTACCAGAAAGAGACAGAGAAACATGGTCCTGCGAAACACTGTCAACTTTGCATATTTTGCTTTTATGATATTCATTGCTCTGATTCGTATAACCGTTAGCAGTAGCCTTAAACCGTTCATGAAATTTCTTATGATAGCTGAGATGTCCTCTAGTGTAAAACACTACGTTACACTCATCGCATGCATAATTCTTTAAAGGTCTTCGAGTTCTCTTTCTTCCATTTACGAAGTCGAGTTGCTGCCCTTGCAATGTTTCTTTGCCTTCATGTAATCTTCTGTGTCTCTCTAACCCAGTGGTGCTTGTGAATGCTGACTGGCAGAACTCACAGGAATATGGTTTAGCCCCTGTGTGTAGGTAGCTATGCCTTACCATGCTTGCAAAATATAACGAAAAAAAGGTGCAAAACCTGCACTGGTACAGCTTATACCCAGCATGCCAGTACATGTGATTTAACAGAAAGGATAAGCTAACACAGGAGTAATCACACTGAGGACACTGGTAAGGTGGTCTCTCTTTATGTCCCTTCATGTGATGGATAAAAATCCTAGGATTTGATGAAGCAAACAAACAAATTTTGCAGGAAAAATTAACTGGCACACCCAGAGGTGTAAAGTCCCTTTCAATCTTGATGAAAAATTTCTCATATCTACTTTCTTTTTTCTTGGTCTCAGATTTTCTTTCTTGAGATCTTCTCTGCCGAACTTTTCTTGCATTTATTCTGTTTTTTCTTGCCTTTTGTAACCTAGTCATTTTCTTATGAAATTTAAGATGATTCTTAAGGTTGACAGAAAAGAAAAAGGTTCTTTTACAAAAGCAGCATTTATGTATTTTCTTATCTTTATGAGCTGAATAAACATGTTTCTTTAGATGTGCACTGCATTTATATACAGAACTACAAAACCTGCACTTCAAATTCAATCTTTCATGCTTATTTATAGAACAAGATGCTTTAGAAAGGGGTTTGATGGTCCAACAATTATTTAGCCATGCTAAACCTTCTTGCTGGCTTTGGAATTCTTTTGGGCTTGCATGAGGAGAAACAACTTTTTGTTGCCGATATCTTTTTTTAGGAAATGGTGTTAATGTCTTATAAATATGCTCTCCAGTAGTATTTGATTCAGCAGAAGTGGAAGCGTTCATCTCCGTTTTCCCTAAGAAGTAGGAGAACATCCATTAAGAACTGGAGCAGAACTATTATAGGTAAATTTTGGTTCTTCTTCCAAGCCATGTTCCAAAAGAGAACTCAGAGTTTCATCTTCAAATTTGCTTCTCTTTCTTTTTCTGTTCTTAGCTTCATTATCTCCATTCTTTGAAGAATCAGGATCTACAGGGGGATAAAAAGTCACATGCATGACATTTCATACTATCACCACTGTTCATGATTAAGTGGTAGTAATAATCCCAAATTGTCTAACGATTTGCTCGCTTGTCACTCCTTTCGCTTCTTTAACATTTTCCTATCTCCACTTCTTTCCTAATGTCTCTCTCCATGATTCCCCCCCTCCCTTAAAAAAATGTTTTAAGAGAAGAAATCCTAGTTAGAAGCCTCCTTTTTTGCACTTCCTCTTTTCACTCAAAGCTCTGAATTTCACAGGACAACACTGCATCCCCTACAGTTTTTAATGAAATAGCTTTATGCCAGAATGCCTATGAAAGTACTGTCACCAAACTTTGCAAGGGCTCCACTCTCACAAGTATGGTGCTCCTTCTGCTGTCTTCTGTCTGTTAGAAGTGAAAGTACTCTTAGTACTTCTCTACATGTTTCTTCCCGAAGGATTTACGTCTGCTATAAGGAATGGTGGAGTTTAAACCTAAATTATGCCTCTCCCAGTCTCTGTTTATATTGATGACAGTTACTGCCTGTTGGTTTTCTCTCCCTAGTATCTCTAATGAGGAGAAAAAAAACTTTAACCTAAGTTTCTATTTTCAGATTCTTTTCCCTAATGAAAGGCCACGCTTTGGCAAACTGCAGCAGAATGAAACAGTACCAATTCATTTAGTTTCACTATTTTTCACAGGCGTCTGTGGAAGAACTAAGCATACTCCAGCCAATATTCTCTTTCTGCTGCATACGATATTAATCTATATTGAAATGCTAACATAAACAGGTTTGGCATGCTTCCTATACACTTTCCTACCTATTTGAAAAACTTGATATTTACCAGATTTCTTAAACTCTTGCACTACTCTTATTAACAAGTTACCTTCCATTTCAACAATTGTCTCCATCTCCTTGTGGATTTCTGGTTGTTTCTCTTGACTGCTGTCAGGAAGAACACTTGCAACACTGACAAGTTCCTCTTCATGTTTGGATATCGCTGCCCATGTCAACTGTTTGCTTGTCTTGACAGTATCATCTCTACCCTCACTGCCAGCAGAGGAGAGGAGAGGAGGAATCTTCTGAAAGCCATCATCACTGTCATATTCTTTACTGTCACTGGTTTCGTTTACGTCTGTAAGCTCTGTTTTGCAAGATGATGCAGGCAACACATAAATTTCACTACATTTATCTGCGCCTGCATCACACCGATCACTTAAAAGTGATTCTGATCTCTCGGCAACCCCTTTTTCTTCAGAGTATTTCATACTATTATCCTTATTTGAAGCAGTCCTGTTTTCTTCCCAAATGCTTAAACTGTTACTGTCATTTGAAGGTGTCACATTGCTTTTTAAGAAAATGCTATTGTTTAAGTTGACCTCCTGCTCATCCTCCTTCAACTCGGGAACTGCCGCTGCCTGCTCCTCAGCGTCCTCTTGGAGAAAATCATCATCGCTCAGCACAAAGACAGTGATCGGGAGAACAATTTCAAAGACATCCGACTCTGAGGACAGAAAAAGAAACTATTAATACTATTTCCAAAATACCTGAAGGAATCGCGTGCCACCATCCGTCCCTCCCC